GCGGCTGCATCCCTGACTCCAGCTCAGGTGCACTGCCGCCGCCATAGTAAACTTCATTATTCCTCAGTCAGGTGGCATCACTCCAAGCAAATGAAGTAATCGTGTAAAGGGACTGTTTGATGGGGCCTGCAGTAAATAGACTCAGGCCCGATGGTGGAGGCCTCAGGACCCGTGCTCAGGTTTCACCCTTCTCCTCCCCGATGAATAGCGACAGCCAAGGAAACCTTGCTCTCCTCCTGGAGGGCAGAGTCTGGCTGCCTGGCTACGTGCATTACTTGCAAGTATGTTGTACCTTTCACAGCCTCGAGGAAATACCAGATACACATTTCTGAGCTCTCCGTCCTGCCCCCTCAGTAACCCGTGTACCCAGGTGGTTTTTTACGTGATATTTACTTTACCATTTGACCAAAAGACAAGCTTAAATTCCAAGTAAATGTTAAACGCTTGCAAAAAATATGTATAACTGAGGTTAGGGAGCAAACTCCCTCCTGACGTAGTTTTGCTAAGGATTGGTGTAAATGTTACTATTACAAATGGGAAATCCTGGATATATTTTCCCAAGAGCGGCAGCAGCCCAAGCCCCGTGAGAACCCGCTGAGAAGGATCCGACGCTCACGACTCACTGAGGTCCTTCTGGAAACGTAACTCGTTTTTTGTTAGATTCTTCTCATAAACAAAGAAATTAATTTCTCTCCCGTTTTCCTAGTACAAACTTTGACCATTAGGCAGAAGCTAATGTGAAGGTCATACTGACAAGATTTGTCTTCCCAGGTGCGGCTAACAAGATATGCTTGGAAAGACAGCCATGGTAGATAACACGGAAAGACAGTTTCTCATTGCATGTCTATGAGCTCTAAGATATCTCAATCCTAAATCTATGAAATCAATCACAAATTCTCCTCTAAAAGTAGAGTTTCAATGTAAGAGAGCAAGGCATGTCTCCAAAGCTGTGACCCTTAGCAAGAGCAAATCATCAGGAGATTGAAGACGTGATTGGAGAAAAGCTAAATTACTTCAGTTATGAATGAGGTACTATTTTTATTTTATTTTAAATTTTGATTGTTGTTTTACTATATCTCTACAATGTGGAGAAATTAGGGCAAAAAATAGCAAGCGAGACATTTTGAAAATGAAATCTCTATTTCACATAGAAAGTAAGTTAGTTGAAATCATGAGGTGATTTGAAGTTGTCAGCATTCATGACCTCAGAAATGTTTATTTTTTGATTGATCAATATGCATTCTAAAATACGCTTATTTGTCAAACCAACATGCCAAAAGAAACATGTGACAGCACATACCTTTATAAAAGAGAACCCAGCATGTTCACCTTTACTTTATCCCCATCATGAGGGGCTTAATATTAGCCCTGGTTTTAACCCTGGTGGGTAAGTAACTTATCTGCTTTGATGAACTTAAAACAATAGATTCAGGAAAAGGTTTCAGAATCTAAATATAGTTCACTTACAAACACGAACTTTATCATTTTATAGAAAAAATTATTTTATGACAGTTTTTTTGTTTTTTAGGGAAAAAAGGCTTTTGGCTATGTGCTGAACTAGAAGTAAAGTTAATTAGAAAGAGTTATGCCATATGTACAAGATGAGATATAGCCTTTCATACTAAAATACATTAACATTTTGGGATTTTTTTTTTTTTGCTTTGTCATTTCATTACTCTTTTTTTTTCCTTCTCTTTCAGGGAGCCAGCATCTTAATTACCGTAAGTAATTTTCCCATCAGCTAATATAATTACAATGAGTGAAATTCAAAATAGAATCTGAAAAGTATATCAATGTTTAATATAATTTTACAACAGCTAATTTTGTTCAGGTGCAATACAAAAATGAACAAATTCATCTTTTTTGTTCCATACATTCTAACACAAGTACTTTAATATGTTCTGTACAGTCTCTATAATGTTTTATGGGAACGATTTCTTTGCAGAACCCGATTTCAGTGAAAACAAGGTTTATACATTCAATTATGAAAGCATGCTTCTCAGTGGACTTCCAGAGAAAGGACTTGCAAGAGCTGGAATAAGAATAAAAAGTAAAGTGGAAATTAGTGGTATTGGGCCAAAACTTTGTCTTATTAGGGTAAGAAAATATATTCAATTTGAAAGGTAAAATTCTCTTCATACTTGACTTCTTTTTTAAGCTTTTGGGAAGTAATTAAGTTTCATCATGTGTTGTGCTTACTCAGGGAGAATGTAACTAACACTATTATTTTTTATGCAGTGCCCTAAATTCTATTTGCACTTTGCCAGGTAATTCTCAGCTCAAGCCAACCTTGGGCTTGAAGGATTTCTTCTGCTTTGTGGTCAGGAAGACAATAGAATGTAATTTGAAATGCACAATAATTTATTACTGGATCAATCCAATTGTTCCAAACTGTACAACCTAGGATTATTTAATCAACTGATTTCGTAACCAGCAAACAAAAGTCAATAAAACATGTGACAATAGCTGGATGTGATTCAATATTTAGCATAATTAATGTCATCTGGTGGCTTCTTTTTCGGCAGAGTCCCAAATGACATTCTTTGTCATCCTCAATTATATATTTTTACTGCATGCTGAGTAATTACTAAGAGTTCTGATTATGTGAAAAACACTTTTGCCTTTAACAGAAGCCTATACGTGCTTCTAATGAATGTATTGAAAAGCACTCCTCAATTGCTTTACACAAACCCCACTTAGTCTTGTGTATATGTGAAAGAAAAATGATCTTTTTAAAAGCTTTTATTTGGCAAATTGAAAACTGCAGATTAAAAAGACTGGTGACTGTCTGATAAATGCTTGTAAATGCTGTAGCCTTCGAGCCTGAATTAGCCTTCTGTTACTAGGTATTTTTATAAGTTCAAATTATAATAGATTTAGACAGGAAACATTGCTTTTCCATGACCTTTGCAAATGGCTGGATTTTTTTGCAAAAAAGCAAGGAAATAAGAGCCATACGTCTGTACTGGTGAGTAGAAGGCTTCCCTGGCAGAGAGGAGGCAGAAGCAGCCTTTGTCTTCGCCCCACATCTTCCGCCATTCCTGCCAAAACAGCTCTTGGTGTGTCAGGGCGAGTCTCCACCAAAAATTGACTCCTGTTCCCTAAAACCTTCCAACTCCACTTCAGCTGCCCTCGTGCATTTGGAAAAAAGTTTCTGTTTCAAAAATAAATACAGAAAGAATTTCAGGCAAGAAAAAGAAGAGAAAAGAAAAAAAAAAAAACCACGAGATTTTGGGGCAAGTTCTAAGTGAAAGGTAACGATGCATTTATTCCCTTCTGCTCTGGGAAAAGTTTATTTTGCTGCTGTTATATTTAAATTAGACAGTTCAGAGGGTTGGTTCAGGGAATTAATCTTTCATCTGTAGCCTCCTAGTTCGCATTCAGCCCAAGCAAAAAGCTATGTTCCCTGGGTGGTTTCCAGCTGACAATGTTTTCATCGCAAACCCACAAGTAAGAATTGCCAGCTGTGTTCAAAACCTAGCAGACAGCGTAAGTCCTGGCTGGGCCCCGAGGGCTGGGGAAAACTACTTCGCCCTGATCCTGCAGAGCAGTCCCAAACCTGCCCGTGTGCAATGTGCCAGGAGCATGTCCAAGAGGCAGCATGAGGGATTTGCTCCATAACAGCCTCCTCTGTAAGCTTCAGTTACTGGGGTTGGCAGTGATCTCCACCAACAATAACAAAAATAAATACGAAAGTGCAATCTCCAGCGATTTGCTGTATGAGGATTTCGTTTGTGTGGCTTTTTGAGAAATTAATCCGTGTCTTGCATCACATCGCCAGCCTGAGGTGTCAGAGAAAAGTCTCTTTAAGTTGTCAAAATATATATAAGGGAAGGGTCCTCTGAGAAACCAAGCTAAACATGCCCCATTCCCGTGGGGTAGAAATCACTCGAGTTATGCATAGTTTAGCACAACTTTCTACTTGCTTGGCTGTGCCCCAGGTTGAGGCTGGAGTGTGAAGTGCAGCGGGGGGGCGGGGGCAGCGCCTGAGCCTTCGGCTCCGCAGCAAAACCTGTAGGGAAGGACAATTTTTATAATCTGCTCTCGACTGCTCAAACTAATTATGACTATCTGGCTGGCCCAGCAGCCATGTTGTTATTAGTTTCTGACTGCTGTCTGTGTTCTGTGACCCCAGCGAGGGAGACGACAGAGTTCACAACAGGAGTTAATGATGCTTTATGCAACATTAACTTTCTCCTGCAATTTCCTGCAGATACTACTTTTGGGTAGCAACCTGCTTCATGCGGCTCTTCTCGGGCTCATTTCTTCGTACAAGTCAACCTTTGGCAATATGGATTATCTATGAAACAGAACAGAGTGCAGTGACTGGAAATGCCATTTGCATTACTGTCTTTGTTTTTATATATGGAAATACGTATATCAATACTAGCTATGTTAAATGACAGCTTTTAAGTTTCCCTTTGAAGAGGCTTTGCGTTATTTAAAAGTGTATTTTTGACATGAGTAAAGTTCTAGATGCTCATGTGCATTGAAAAAAGTTAACTGAAAAAATCCAAGAGGACTCATATTCCCCCTTTGTTCTAGATTCACTCAATCGAAGCAGCAGAGTACAATGGTGTCTGGCCTACAAGCTCATTCTCTCGATCGCTCAAACTGACCCAGGTACTAACCGGGCAGCTCAGTAATCCCATCAAGTTTGAGTATAGCAGTGGCCATGTTGGAAACCTTATGGCTCCTGATTCTGTCTCGGATGATGGTCTAAACATCTACAGAGGGATTCTGAATGTGCTGGAGCTAAGTATAAAGAAGATGCAGCATTCATACAGCTTACAGGAGGTGAGCTTTTTGATTTGGCCATTGTGGTCTCTTTGTAAATAAATAAGCCTTCTCTTCAGATTCTTCTACTGCATTTTCTGAATTCATCCTTGACATAAACTTCATTAACAAGAAACACCTAAGCTTGGGAAATCATGATTAAGTTGTTCTTATGGGGCAACATTTGATGGAGCTGTAGCTAAACAGGACAACAGAATAGCAGATTTTTAATCTGGCTGATCAAAGTATTTCAGAAAATGCATTTGCAGCGTTAGACCCTAAGAAAATCTGGCTTGTGATTCAAGAGAAAGTAAATTCCTGTGAAAGCTGAAGCCTACAAAAATTTGAATGCTGTATTAAAACAAGCTTAAACATACAGCACAAGATTAAAGCTAAAATAACAGTAATTTGACTTTTTTACCAATCATATATACTTTAATCTCTCCTAGCTCCTCTTTTAGGAGGAAAACAGTATATATGCCATGACATTACTGTAATAGTTTTGACAGTTGCAGTTGATGTTCTATTGGAATTTCCACTGTTTTTCAGGTTTTAATATCTTAGTCAAGGTGAATCATCTGATATTACTATTCACCACAGAAATTGCAGTGTGTTTAGTTTTTGTGAAAGCATATTTACATTGATTAGACTACATTTGATTCAGAGATCAGCAAAAACCTTGAAATTATTATACTTTCATGTTATTTTTATTGAAAATGCAGACCGAGGTAACTTTAATTTTTTAAAAATTTATTTTTATGTAAGTAGAGTTGTTTCTGGGAAAGGAACTACATGATTTAATATTTTCACGCTGCTTGTTGCACATAAAAACCCAGGTGATGGTGTCGCATATTCTGCAGCGCTATTTTCTCATATCTAGTTTTACATCTTCTTTCTTTCTAATTCAGTTAGCAATATGTCCTACTCTCGCTGCTGAGCAATATATGCGACTTCACCTCCTAGAATCATTTCCAAGTTTTCTTTGCTTTTCTCAGACAGCAACTGATTAATGAACGTTGGCACTCTTGCCTGACAATCTCAAGTCACTCTGTAAAGGAAGATAAGTGTTATTAGTCCCAAAATCTGAGCTGCGGAGAGGTTTAAAGGACTAACCCGGGAGAGTCTACATCACATCCTGCAGAGTGTAGGGTAAGGGTATCTGAGCTAGCCGTGAACTGCACACAGCTAGAAAGTCCAACTAGGCAGGAGGCTACTTCATCCCACTGAGCCCAGTGGGCTGAACATTCCCATTTAAAGTCTAGATGTCTCTACCACATGCTGCAGTCTGCAGAGGAGCCCCACACCTCTATTTGCAGAGTACAAGTCTTTCAGAAAGCTTGGGCAATTCTTATTTCTAGCCCTTACCGAAGCCACAGCGTCTTCTGTCTTCACAGGAATACTGTCAAGCTAAAGATGAAGTGGGCATGTCTTGCCTCCCAACCGCCACATGACCATTTTGCTGTTCTGACATAGCCCAGAGCTGCTCTCTGGAGTGGCTATGCTATCAATAACAATAAAAAAATCATGAAAATAACCCTTCCTCCTAAAATGCAATCAAATATTTTCCTCTCCAAAAATCTTCTCACTGACTGAGGAGATTTAAGAGCTCGTATAAATATATATGCTTGAAATATTATTGAAGATCTGGGCTAAAACTGCAAACTCAAGAAAACCCACAATCAAAACTCTGCTATCCTGAAATTCTTTTTAATTATTGCTGTTCGTATTGTGACAGATCATCTGATATTGCCTGTTCCATAAGCATTTATAAGCTGTCTATAAAAGCAAATTTTAAGGGCAGAATGTCATCTCCAACCTTAAAATACTTTGCTGTTGAGATTTTATTCTGACTGATCAAAGTATTTTGGCACTTTTTATTAATATTCCTTAAATTGTATTTCAAAATCGACAGCCCTAACTGGAAATTGTTACTCACCTTTTCTGAGGCTCCAAAGCTTGTCGCAGTGAAACTCTTGAGAATTTTAGTGAAACTCTGATTTGGCTTACTGGAAACCTGTACATGTAAAAAAGAGATGAAAGTAACGATCATCCCAGTTTTGCTTCTGAAGAGTATCATAAATAAAAAAGCATTCATTTCTATCAGGAATTTTGAAAATACAGAATTAAACAGGGAAGCCCATGTGGGGAATTGATGAAGCTTTGCATAGGAGTGAATGTCTCTGATCACGTTCTCATTTTTGCCAGGCTGGGATCGGAGGTATTTGCAACACAACGTATGCAATCCAGGAAAACAAGAGAGCAAACTTAGTCTATGTGACCAAATCCAAGGACCTGAACAGTTGTGAAGAGAAAGTTCAGATGGTCACAGGTTCAGCATACACTCATCCATGCCGGACCTGCCAGCAGGTAAAATTAGAGTGGTATTAGATACACGTATTTTATATTCATATACCGGGAGCCATTTGGCATCCACGTTATCTCTTGCTTTGTTGCACTTAAAATGAGAGAAGAATCAGATCTTCTGTATCTAGTTACCGACATTTTCTTTCTGTATGAAAATCAAATCCACAGAGCAGCAGAGGTCTGTGCTGCAGACTGTCGTGTACTGCAGACACACTTCAACTAGCTTAAACTAGCTGGCTTGGAAAACATTAATTATCAGCATGAGTTAATTCACTTACTCTGTTGAGTAAAAAAGATAGTCACGATGTCCAGTTTCTGCTATTCAAGATAGGTGCGGGTGCTTCTTATTATAATCCTGTCTTTGAAATAAGAAACCATGTGGCTCATACTGCTGCTTTCCTCAGAAAATGTGTCTCCTTCTCAAGGGAATAACCAATTACTTATATTTGGGAAAGGGAAAAAACAGCTAACGCTTCTTAGCAGTAAAAGTAACGGAGCCAGGCAGCGTGCCTGACCTCTCCCATGGAAGCGTGCACGCAGAATTCACATAAAGCGCTCATATGGACAATGAACGAAACAGCCCTGGAAAATAAGTGGATTGAAATGGGTGATGTAATAGCTTCTAGTCACAGATTTTAGAAGTTCAATAACTTTCTACGTTCTTTGTTTCTTTGCTTTTTTATATTATAAAGAGAAACAAGAATTCCCGGGCAACTGCTACTTACAATTACAAAATTAAATATACACGTAATGAAGCTGTAATTACACAAGCTGATGTTGAGGAAATCCACCAGTTTGCACCCTTCAACGAGATAACAGGAGGAAATGCTATAGTAGAAGCAAGGTACTGTACATATGCCTTTAATTCAGCAACTAACTCAGCATCTCAGTAATCTGGTCAAACTCCATAACTGAAATAAATCCTTTACTTCCACAGCCTATTGTTTGCCAATATTTAATTACGTAAAATCCCAAACAGTTCATAAAAACAACCTTCACTGTTAGTTGTAAATCTGAAACACGCACATCACTATCCAAATTTTGTTAGCTAAACTTGGCAGGGTTTGACTATTTTATTTCTCAGGGATATTTGATTTATGTCATAAAAGCCAAAACAAATGTAATTCCATCTGAAAAATTGTGAACTAATATATTTGCAGTAAAATACTTTGAAAGACAGTTACTCACTGAAAGAGAGTTCCCTGGAAAATAATAATGCAGTAAGAGACCCTGGAGACTAGTTCACAAGAAACCTAGATAGGACTTTGGATTCCGATATACTTCCTAAGTACAGTGGGCTGCTTGCAAATCTCCCATCAAAACAGTTTCTTGATAGGAAATTGGGGTTTATTGCAAAAAGATTGGGCACAAAGCATATAAAATGTATTTTCTTTTCCACAGTAAATTTTGCATATTTCTTAAAGAAGTTTGGAGCAAGATGAGAATATAGTTGTCTAAGAAATTAAATCCCTGCTCATTTTTAGCTCAAGTCCCCAAAATTTCAGTGTTTGAAAATTTTTTCATCTGCTTCAAAAGCATCTGTTGAAAAAAATTTTAGTTACCTGCTTTAGTGATGAACTCTGTAGACAGAGGTGCCCTACTGAAGAGGGAGGCTTTTTACATAAAGGTCACTGTACGGAAGATATACCTCAATCACACTCCAGCTGCTGTAATCTTGCATTGCTCTGTTAGCTTCTGCAAGAATCTATTGGTATAATATACAGTTTTGGAAACTGCGACATTAGAAGGTTCATGTCAATAAATCACTGATTAACTTCAGTAATATAATGAACATGTTCAGTTTAGCTAACCAAAAAAAAAAACCCAACAGTAAAGGTGAAAGTAGCTTTACTATCTCATGCAATCAAGGTGAGGATAGATACAGCTGTACTGCTTTTATCAAATTATAGATTGTTGTGAGTGAGCATTAGTCTAGAGCCAATGGACTTCTGCTGATTTAAACTCTCCTTCTGCAAGCCTACATAGACTGTCTTCCTTACTGTTCTCCCTCAGGTATTGAGCCCCCAGAAAGGGTAGTGCCTTTACTTTTCCCCATTTTCTCTAGATCTTTTGCATTGTCCAGCAGACAGGACCAAATATAAGATAGCTGGGAAGATGTGGATATGTCACCCAACTCTTCAGAAGTTATTACTACTATGCACTTTCTGTGTTAAAAACAAAACAAAACAAAACAAAACCAAACCAAAAAAACAACAATGAAAGAAAGAAACAAAAATCTAACATCAAGGACTTAAAACATTTGGAGCTGAGTTTGCAGACCTGTTCAGCATAAGGCTTTTGCAACACCTTTCAAAGCAAAGAGAGGTTTTACTATTGTTTCACCGTTTTAATCCTATCTTTAGTATTCATTTGCTCTTTGGAGTATAACATTTTCCCATCTATTCTAGGCAGATATATCTCTTCCCAAAATGATGAAGATGAAGACATAATAGATTCATCATGTTCTGGAAGGGGAGTTAAATCTGTCCAAGTGTACCTGACGTTATACTTTCTGACCCAAATGCCCTTTCAATAATATTGTATAAAATTTCAAGAGAGAAAAAAATCTCTGCTGATTCTGTAGTGATTTCTATTCAAATTCCAGTAGCTTGTCTGCAAAGCAGTTATATGCTATTTTCTGCAGCAGTTCTCTGCAATCCATATGGAAGTAGTGGATAGAAATGATACAGAAGATCATCGTAGAGATTCCAAAATAAACACGCCAATTTTCTACAGAGCTTTTGAGATACTGTGTAGTACGACAATATTGCTTTTGGAATGTTTTCAGTTGTTCAGTACAAATGCCTAACTTTATTATAGTGTCCTAAACAACGTATTTTAAACATAATTGGTGGGGTAGGATGCATCCTTTTAGCTGAAATGTAGCAAAGATAGAAAATATTTACAAAGACAGTCTCTCATTGGAATTATTCTTAATAACAAAGGATGAAGCTTTGGTGCTCCTTGAAAAGTTTCTAAAAACTTGAGTACTTTTCCAAAGACTAATCCTGAATTTATCTGGCCCTTTTTTGGGGGGAAATCCAGTTTGAAACTTCATGAGAATCTTTTATCTTCTGCAGTCCCCAGGACATTCAGTTTGCCAGGCAAAATGGGGAGGGAATTGTAATAATGCAAGTAAAGAGATTGTAGCATTTCTTACTGTATCTAACAATTTTCAATTCTTTTTGAAGCTTCCAGGAGGCACAGACACATAAGAGCTTTTATGAACTTCTTAAAAGGTTTAAATTAAGTGATAATTTCTAAAAAAGTTTCCCATCACTTATTTTTCTCTAATCCTTAATTTACTCCTTAAGACACAACACACAGTTCCTGTGATCTTCTTCAGGCCACAGCTTCTCACCTCCCACTTCTTCCTTGAGTTCTCAAGCCATGTTATTCCCAAAGGAAGGCAAAGGCTGGCTCTCATCTGAGCCCTGCTGTGTAAGTGCACACCTTCTCAGAGTACAGTTCTGAGCATCATGTCCGAATGCATCTATTTGTAAATACCTTTGCCCCTCAATAACAAAACCCCTTTGAAACAATTATAGTCGCATTGCAATGCAGGGAGTCAGAAACACTATTCTTTTCTTAGCTTGTACTCTGAATCTTCTGATGTTATCTCCCTGGGTTCCTCCATTCCAGGCAGAAACTTGCTTTGACTGATGTGCAAAAGCACATGGCAGAGGTCCCACCAAAAGAATTCCAGAACCGTGGGTCACTTCAGTACCAGTTTGGCAGTGAATTGCTTCAGCTTCCTGTCCACTTATTCAGAATAAAAAATGTGGAAAGCCAGGTAAAGTTCAGCCACTGGACAGACTCTTTGTTGGACGTTGGAATCTGTGCGTGTGGAAAAAAATGTGTGTGAGCTTCATGCATTTTAAACTTCCTGCAGATAGAGGAAAGCCTGCAAGACCTAGTAGAGACCACGTCTGAACAGCTTCCCAGCGATGCACCAGCAAAAGCCCTCAAGCTTATGCACCTCTTCCGCGCAGCAAATGAGGAGAATTACGAGTCAGTGTGGAAGCAGTTCTCCAGTCGGCCAGCATACAGGTACAAGCAATACAAGTGGTGATTCTTCTGCTGATAAACTCTGTTGGAGACCGTCTGGAATAACTATGTTCAAATGCAGATCTGGAAAATGGTCCTTGCCTTTCCCATTACAGGCGCTACATTTTGGATATAATTCCTGCAGTTGCCAGTCACCGTGCACTCAGGTTCTTGAGGCATAAAATGGAAAGGCAAGAACTCACCAACTGGGAAGCGACTCAGATGGTGCTTGTGGCTCTGCACTCAAGCACGCCAACTCGGGACGTGATGGAGGAAGCAACGGTAGGATTCTCTAAACACTCTCAAATCTCTCTTTACTGATTTTAGCATCTGTTGTATTTATTCCTTTGACAAGATTGCAAAGGCTTTGAAAATATAAAGGTTTTATATCCTCTAGTGAGGTTGAAAGGAGTTTATTTTCTGACTGTCTTAAGGGGAGGAGAATGCAAATCAAAAGGGCAAAAATGAATTTAGAATGAAACAGGAAAGAAAGTGTAAAATACCCCTCAGTGACAGAGGTTATTGCTGCAAACAGTGGTTTCTAGTCTCCCTTTGTCAAAATATGCTTTATAGTTACACCAGATTAGATCTCTAACTGAGTGTCTACAAAGACTAGGGAGTAAGAAATACATATTTGTTATATCCTGTATTCGTCCTGATTGACCTAGCAGGATGGGTATAAATCAGAGCAGATCTATCGAAATCAAGGGAATTGTGCCAATGTGGACCCCATGTAGGAGAAAGTCTAATGATTTTTATAATTTTTTCCTCTTCTGCAGGGTCTAATTCTACCCTCAGATGCAGGAACTTATCTCTGCCTACCCTCGGTAGGGACTGCGTATCTCAGACTAGAGTTTTGCCCTCTGTAAAAGCCGTGACAGCCCGGCTGTTACTGTGCGGTAATGTTCTGCTTCCCACTCAAGGAAGCAGCGGGCTGGTGCCTCCTGTCAGCTCCTAAGTTTATACGAAATATTCCTGTCTGCCCAAAGTACTGAGGTCCATTCACAATGTATCTCAAGTTTTTTGTACCTATAGCTGAGGCAATTATGAAACAATGATGAACGTTTCTTGAATAAAGTGTTTTTCCATTCCATAACTGGGTGATTTCCTCCCTTTGGATTACAGCCTATGCCAAATTTAAATCTGAAACACTATAAAAGCAACAGATCTGCCTTCCAGATGTTACCTGAAATTACTTTGCAATTGTATTTTCAAATACAGTAATATCCACTGATTAACTATAAATCCATCGATACAAAAATATCAAAAGCCTGGTTTTGCCTTGCATTCTGCAGAAACGTATTTTTTAATATTGTTGCTGTTCATTAATGGTGGTAACGAACAACCGCTTTCTCCCCAGCTCATCGTGAAAAAACATTGCCCACGCTCAAGTACTGTACTTGGAAAGGTTTGCCATCTCAGCTACGCGTCACTGTGCCACAAACAGTGCTCTTCATCAGACTCCTGCTCTGAATGTCTCCAGGTAACCACATTGTTATTTATTGTTTAAAAGAAAAATTAAGCCTTGAGTTCTTTCTTCATTATTCAGAAACCTGTATTTCACTTCACTACAGTGTTTCCTTTGGGGAAAGGAACCCCAGTTGGTTAAATACAGCATTTTTATCTTTAGATTAACACACGAAAGAGAATGAGAGGAAGAAGCATATAATTCATGGCACTTTCTATCTGAGTATCTCTGAGTGCTTTATTGCCAATTATTAATGAAATCCCATGGCACTGCTCTGAAACACTTTAAGTGTAGGTACTTAGATATACTTATAAATAAACTAAGTGACACAAAAGCCCAGGTTTTTGCCCAAAGTCATGTAGCCCAGCCATTTCTCAGCCAGAAGCAGAGCCCAGTTATCCACATAGACTATAAGCTTTTAGTAAGTAATACCCTCCCTGTTCTGCACTGCTTTTAATCAACGGCCCTGAAAACAATTTAAATAGGCACTAAATAGCATTTCCCCATTCTAGAGATGCATGTCATGGTTTACAGAGGTCGGTCATCCAGCCAATCGTAGAGAGGGAA